TTAATTAAAAAAAAAAGCATGAATCTTTTAGCTGAGAATTTTAAATATGTCATTAGTTTTGGAAGCCAAATCACCTAAAATGTTACGCATGTTAACTACATTTTAATAACATTTTTGTCAGTATTGAATACTATGGCTATTGTTATTTTTTTTTTAAACAAAAAAACGTTGCTATTGCATTGATCCCAACCGATGACAACCCCACGTGTGTCCAAGCAGAACTGTGCTCTGTACGGTTTTCCGTGACTGATTTTTTGGAAATATATCCCCAGGCTTCTCTGAGTGGACTCAGACTTGTATCCAGCCTTTCAGTTGGTGACTGAGCCTGGTAATTGCTGGTAGTACCCAGGGCCTGAATTATCTCACATAATTCCCAAAATTATTGAAACTGAAGCTCAGGGACATTAGACTTGCCAAAGATCACACCACTGTGAAGTGGTGATTAAGCCAAAGTATAAGCCCTTGCAGTCTGATTCTATAACACAGTCTGAAAACCATTCTGGAAAATAGCAAAGCAAAGTTCAAGTGAACCCTTGACCTGGAATTATGCCTAGATTCCCCCACCTTGGTGTGTTCCTGGAGTTAATCTCAAGAGTGCCACAGCACAACTCTCTTGACGTGAGTGCCAGAGGTCAGTATAGTGGCCATTCAACCCTCTAAGCTAGCTCCTGCTAGCTACACTGCCATTTTGAAAATGGTGTGCCTCTACTTTCCCAGGCTTCTAATGGTTCCTGGTCCTTCGCTGATGTCCTGGGCCACATATCCTCTCTTCTGGCCCTTTGAGCATACCAACGGAAAACTAGAAGTGCCAACACACTTTTTCCCTCTGCCCTACTTTTCCCAGCCAGCACCTGCCCTATCTATCCCTTATTACTCTTTCATTGTATTATAGCCAGAGATCTCATGCCTCTGGCTCTGCTTCAGAACTATGGATGGAGCTTTGTGAACAGTTTCATGTCCCGAGAGATGGGTTCAGTAGGTCTGGATGGAGGCCAAGCACCTGCATTTTTAATAAAGATTCAAGTAAGTCTGGTATGTAGTCAGAAGTGAGAACCTCTGATCCAGGCATTACTGAGTGACAAAGGTGATTGTCCTTATAAAGAGAAAGAAATCTTAACCTGTTTTAAGTAGCTTGCTACAGACAAGTCAACAGGATGATTATAAAGTTTGTTTCCTGAGGCCTGGAGCTAAACATTGTTTACTAATTACTTGGTGGGGGACACCAGGCCTAAAGATGAGTAAACTGTCATTCTTAGCCTTCAGGAGCTCTCTCTAGTCCAGGAAGCAGATTCAAAAATAGTCCTCCTGGCTGTGTGAACAGAGGGCTCTGGGAGAGGAAAGAAGTTTGTGAGTGCTTCACAACAGGGAGGGAGCCCTGTCGTTAGAACCTTGAAACAGGAGGCGAATTGTTGCCTGGTAAAGAAGGGGCAGCCTTGGCGAGATAACCACACAAAGGCAGATGTGACAGTGCACAGCGTGTTCAGGAAGCTGTGAGCAGTCCCTGGAACGGGAGCCGCACGTAGCAGAGTAAGCAATAAGACAGAGGAGGTAGTGTGAGCACAGGTGACAAACTTTTATAGAGAAAGACATTACATCATGACTGATTATGAAGTTCTCTATAACTCCTCAAGGGAATGACTTTCAGGAAACCTCTAGGGCAGTGGCCAAGTCTGTCAGTGTCGGTGCAAATTGAGCCACTGAATAGCATGTCATACATAAATTTGTATGCTGATATAGTCACGTGATACCACTATTGAAAGTAATTTGGTAACGTTTATATATGTACATAGGGAGCCTTAGTGGCATAGTGGTTTTGTGTTGGGCTCCTAACCACAAGGTCAGCAGTTCTAAACCAACACCACCAGCCACTCTTCAGGAGAAAGATGGAATTTCTATACCCATAAAGAGTTACAGTCTCAGAAACCCACCAGGGTAGTTCCCCCCTGTCCCATAGGGCTGCTATGCGTTGGAACTGACATCAATGGCAGTGAGTTTCCTATGTATGAAGAAATAGAAAAAGATACACTCTTCAGGGGAAAGAAAAATTTGGGGTGTGTTTGTGTGCATGCGTGCATGTCTTTGTGTACCTGTGTGTATTTTCTTGGTGTTTTTCAAAAGTATGGGATACGTACAACTTTGTGCTTCTAGGTTACTTGAGAAATTGTGGGCTGCAAGAGAGAAAAAAAAGTTTACTTTTCACCTTGTACCCTTCTGTAATGTTTGTTTACACTGAGCTTACATTACGTTTGTAATTCGGCCTCCATGGCCCATTCCCTCCTTTATAATGAGATTTCCTGTTGACCTTTACTGAATTCTTCAGATGAGTGCCACATGCCTCTCAGATTTGACCTGGCCCAGCCAGCCCTTTCTTCTCTCTTCCTGCTTTAAAATCTGTGTATTGACCCAGCCTGACTCTGCCCTTCTTACTGTTTAGTGACTGTCAGCCTACACTGAGGAGTGAAGCAAAAGAACGCTTCCTTCCCTCCGGAGATAATAACATAGTCAGTCTCAAGAATGTGAGGGTGAGGGATCCTGGACAGGTTTCGGTTGTTGACTGGCTGCTTTAGCATAGCACTTTATGAAGACTTAATATAAAATGGGGATTTCCCCATAACAATTGCTATTGAAAGTAGCATTGTTACTTTGGTTGTTTTTACACCGTATGCTTAATGACAAACATTCAAGCAAATGTCACCTTGTAAAATGTCTCCGTTCCAAGGCAAGGCTGATTGAGTAATGGAAACCCTCATAGTACCAGGTGGTTAAGTGACTGGATTGAATACTTACTGTTAAAACTCTGATCCAGATAAAAGGAGGTTTTATTTTTTTTGTATCAGCCCATCCTAAATCCAGTTGCACCTGAATGCAACTTAATAATTAGAATTAAATATCAGAGTCACAATTCAAAACTTTTGTGACTGACAAATAAATAGAAGGCCCTTGTTATTTGACAACAAGAGCATTTCAGAAATCTTGAGCTCAAGGAAATTGGGGAAATAGAGTGCTGTCTGTGTTGGGGCCAAATGGGGAGATCCAGTAAAAACATCAGGTGTGTCGGGATTTGGCCAAAGTACATGATGAAGCTTATAAACAAAGGGACAACGCATAAGGTATCCTAACAAATACGCTTGACTTGTTTTACTAAGAATAAGCACTTAGAAATTCTGAACTGTTCTTTGACTCGTGGTAAATAGTAGCAGTCTATAAGTTAAGGTGGAAGCAATGTGTAACATATAACCTTAACAAATAATTGATAAAACTCTTGTGAAAATGGAAATGTTCGCGATTTAACTGTCCTGGAAAACAGGTCGATGAGGGTAATGGGTTGTGTCCAAATTGCATAATGAGTGATGGGCCAGGTTTCAAACCTGTATATTTGTTTCAATTGGAGAGCCACAGTGCTGTGCCACTCTGCCTTAGCACTGCTCCAGGACCTATACAGAGATGTCAATGGCAGCATTGCTCACAAAGTCAAAAAACAACACCCTAAATAATGTCTTAACTGTTGTAATCTTCTACCAAAGGTTTATTACATATCTTGTGGAACCACCTATATTTTAAAACATAAGACTTATTTTGTAGCTATTAAAAAGAATCATGTAAGAGTAGAACTCTTGGTATTCAGAAGCAGATTAGTAAACAGTATGTATATTGGGATCTCATTTTTTGTGTGGAACAAGTTTGTGATGTGTAATAAATGCCATATGCACAAGTATAGAAAAATGCTAGTGATCATACCAGTGTGCTTTTAACTTTTTCCTCTTTGTATTCTTCTGTGTTTCCTAATTTTTTATAAGTGTGAGGGGATAAACCCCCCACCACCCGCTACCCCCGCGCACCTAAAATGGAAAAAAGCTCTGCTGGGCATATCTTTCATAGTACACATTTTTCCCTGTAAGTGAGCATCAAGCAACTCACTCTGAGTTAGTACACCCAGTAGCGTTGCCTGGGAAGGTTCTCTCTGGTCACAGTGAATTTTTTCATAAAAGCCGTTTCACTCTAACCTCGTTTTTTTGTGATGGCCAATTTAAGAGAACCATGTTGGCTGTTAAATTTTATTTCCTGCTCGGGAAAAGTGCTGCAGAAACTGCTGTGATGTTGAACACAGCTTACAAGGACAGCGCCATGGTGGGGGGCGGAGTATACGGGTGGTATTGTCGTTTCCAAAAAGGTGAAATGCCAATTGATAACAAACATTGTTCTGGACATCTGTCAACCTCCCAAACACACAAAAAATGTTTACTCGAGTTCGCTCCACCAGGTCAGAATGTCAATCAAGCTTTCTATTTCGAGCAGTGGTTCTCAACCTTCCAAATGCCATGACCCTTTAATACAGTTCCTCATGTGGTGATGACCCCCAACCATAAAATTATTTCCATTGCTACTTCATAACTGTAATTTTGCTACTGTTATGAATTGTAATGTAAATATCTGATGCAGGATGTATTAGGTGACCTCTGTGAAAGGGTGTTCGACCCCTCAGAGCTCGAGAACCGCTGTTTTAGAGGTTCTGAAAAGATAGCGTAGCAGTGTGCCACAAAAAAGGCCTGGATTGTGGCAGAGGGGGGACTGGTTTTCCCACCACGACAATGCACCTGTTCATGCAGCCATCTCAGTGCACCAGTTTTTTGCAAAAAACAACATGCCTCTCTTGCCCCATGCTCCTTACCTGACCTCACTCCAGGCGACTTTTTGTTTCTGCAAATGATGAGGGATATATGAAAGGACAGTGATTGACATAGAAGAAGTGAAGAAAAAACAAGGGAGGTAATGTCAACCATCCAAACAAATTAATTTGAGAAATGTTTCCAAGAATGGAATCACAGATTTGACAAATGTATTAAGTGTAATGGAGAGTACTTTGAAGGTTGTTTTGTAAAGACATTCAAATACATAGCTTTTTTCAGGGGGGGGTTCTGGGTTTTTTGGGGGTACCCCCTTGTATATTTCACATCAAGTGATTTTTCACTTCTAATTTTCATGACCCTTTTCTTTTTAAGTAACAGCAATGAGTAGCCAGAATACTCCAGCCAAAGCCCCCAGGGTAAAGAGCAGTCCATTGGCTTCCTCACCATCATCAGCAGCTTGTGCTCCAAGCTACACTGGAGATCTCCCACTTCCTTCTAATACGCCCACGTTATCTGCTAAAACCCCTCCCGCCACGGCCCAGTCTCCTACAAGCAGAGGCTCCTTCTCCTCCATCTCTCCCAAACCATTTTCTCTCAAGATGTCAATTCGAAACTGGATGGTCCAAACACCTTTCTCATCTCCTCCAATCACTCCACCTGCTTCTGAGACCAAGATCCCATCTCCAAGAAAAGCCCTCATTCCTGTGAGCCAAAAATCCTCCCAAGCAGCAGCTTGCTCAGAGTCTAGGAACAGGGTTAAGAGGAGACTCGACTCGAGCTGCCTGGAAAATGTGAAACAAAAATGTTTGAAGAGTTGCAGTTGTGTGACTGAGCTTGATGACAAAGCTGACGGGCTTCATTTGGATCTGTGCTGCCTTGCTGGTAACCAGGAAGACCTTGGTAAGAACTTAGAAAGTCTTAGTAAATCAAGCAGAGTTGAAGGAGCTAATATGAGCATCTCCGAGCCCCCGTCTCCTGCCAGTCCTTATGCTTCAGAAAGCTGTGGAGCACTTCCTCTCCCTTTGAGATCTTGTGAAGAAGGATCTGAAGTCGTGGGCAAAGAGAATAGCTCTCCGGAGAATAAAAACTGGTTATTAGCCATGGCAGCCAAGCGGAAGGCTGAGCTCTCATCTCCTAGTTCCAGGAGACAAAGTGGAAAGACATCACCAAGCCCGGTAAGTCAGCAGTGGGAGTGGGAAGATAAATTCCTCACCTAGAAGTGATCAGACACAGATCTCTTCTCAGAATGAATTTTGAAAGCAAATCTCTCTCCTTAAGATTGCTAGATTTAGCACATAAAAATACAGGGTGATAATTTCATGGGACATGTTTAGTTATTTTATACTAAATATTATCCAAAATTCAACTGTAACTGGGCAACCTATAGTTGATCCAGTGGCGCTATTTAATTCCTGCTGCTGGGTTCTTACTCAGTGCTACGATCTGATTTTCCAAGGCCTTCCTCATCCCCCAGGAGATCAATTTGAAAACAACTCCCCCTTTGTTCATATGCCATCCCCTTTAAAAAAGAACTTTTCCGCTTTCTGTTCTAGAAGCTCTTAACCAGTTTTGGTATCAATTCTTCTCTAAATGTTTGGTAGCATTCACTCGTGAAACCCTCTAGTCCAGGACCTTTTTTTCAGCGGGAGGGGAGAAAAATTTTTGATCACTAGGTCAGTCTCTTCACTTGTTTATCATCTTGTTGAGATTTTCTATTGCCTTTTGAGTAGGCTGAGTGCTTCTAAGAATTTGTCCATTTTATGTAGGTTATCCTATTTGTTACCATACAGTTCCTATAGCATTCTGTCAAAATTCTGTTTATATTTCCATCAGGTCAATTGCAATATCCCCTCTTTCATTTTTTATTTTAGTTATTTGCATCCTTTCTTAGTTGAGCTAATGGTTTTGCAGTTTCACTGATTTTTTAAAATACAATCTTCTGATTTTACTGATTCTATTTTTTGTTTGTTGTTTGTTTAGTCCTAATCTGATCTTTGTTGTTTCCTTTCTTCTGATAGTTTTAGGCTTAATTTGCTCTTCTCTTCTGGTTCCTGGGATTTTTAAGTTAAGCTGTTAATTCAGTTTCAGCTTGTTAAAATGCAGGCATTATTGCAAAGTTTCCCATTGAGTACTGCTGTTGCTGTGTTTCTTTCATGATCCATTTGTAGTTTAATAGTCGTTAATTTCCCTATTCATTTTCTAGGTTTTTGTTGTTGTTCCAATTTCTTACTGTTGTCATAAGAGAAAATGTTCAGTTTTTAAGTCTAGGACTTGCTTTGTCATTTAAAATGTGGTCCGTCCTATAGAATGATTCATGTGCACTGGCGTCGAGTACATACTGCGCTGTGTGTGGAGGAGGAATTGGTATTGGTGGTTATGAGTTGGGCTGCTACCCACAAGGTCAGCCGTTTCAAACTACCAGCTGCTCAAAGAGAGAAAGAATGGCTTTCAACTCCCATTGAGATACGGTCCCCGAAACCCAAAGGGGCAGTTCGTCCCTGTCCTGTAGGGTGGCTGAGTTAGAATTGCCCCAGTGCAGTGAGTTTGGTTTGTGGCATTTTATTACTATGATATAATGTCCATCTTACCTCTTTTGATAGATTGTGTCTTGAAACCTATTTTAGAAGATATTAAGATTGCCACCCCAACTCTTGGTTATTATTTGCATGGGATATGTTGGTTTTTTGTGTGTTTTTTTAACATTTTATTAGGGGCTCATACAACTGTTATCCCAATCCATACACACATCAATTGTGTAAAGCGCATTTGTACATCATTTCTCAAAACATTTTCTCTCCATTTAAACCCCCAAGGGGATATGTTGTTTTATTCTTTTACTTACTTTCAACATGTTTGTGTCCTTGAATTTAAGGTTTGTTTCTTGTAAACAAGGAGACTTTAAATATTTTGTGAAAAATAAAACTAAAGGATTATGGATGTTCCCATAAACTTTTTGAAGCTCCCTCATGGTTTGTGCCATACCTTTTTTATATAGATAAAGCTATTGTTCCTGGGCAAAATTCCAAAACACTTAAGTAGATTTACAGTTTGTAATTACAGTTTTTGATATTTTAAAATAAAGTGAAACAGATATATAAAAAGCAATTTAAGGGGTAACCAGTTTGCAGGTTAAGAGGAGCTAGGTTAAGGAAGTTCTTGTAGTTAAGCCTACTAGCTCTTGTTCTGTGTTACATAGAAGATTAGGATGTGATTGAAATCGGATCCAAGAATCATGATCAGATTTTTTTAATGGGCAAAAGCTAGATAACTTTAAGCCAGTTCTAGTTTAAGCCATAACCTCCATGTTTTATCATGAAAGTCTATCCCAAAACTCACTACTCATAGTAACCCTGTCTTATAGGGAAACCCTGTGCGTTTCCAAGGCTGTAACTCTTTACAAGAGTAGAAAGCCTCGTCTTTATCCTGTGGAGCAGCTGGTGGTTTTGAAGTACATACCTTGCAGTTAACAGACTAATGTATAACCACTATGTTACACATTGTTTTAAGGACTATTTAGAACACAAATTCCAACAAAGACCCTTCCCACTACAGAAAAGGGGGCCCGAACAACACAGAAAGGAGTCTTTCCTCTATCTACGGTTCAGCTACTCATTGCTCCTGGTCCAAACAAAACCCCTCCTCTAGTTTTTTAAATACAGCACATAATGCCATGTACTATTCTTTACTCTGCTCATCGATAAAAAATCAGGATATTTTAATATTGTGTCATCCTGAGAGAGAGCACATGCACACTGGCTTTACTTTAAAGTAGCTTCTCTTGAACCAAATATTCAGGTCAAGTTATGCTTCCCATAATGTCCTTTGATCTAAAGATATATTTGAACAGTGCAAATTACATGACCTTGGAATTTTCCCCGAGTATCACTTCACCTTTATCAGTAACTAAAAAGCACACCTTTATTAGTAACTGAAAAGCAGGCAGTTCCAGTTTATTATTTTAAAAGGGGACGAGAAATAAGAGTTACTGTACCTTAAATAAATGTTCTAAAACCCCAAATGAGTCAGTGGGAGTTCAGACTTCTCCTTGGTTAGAATTAACATGTCCCAATCTGGTTATAAGGTGGCACAGCCTCTCCTCCTATGCACAGAGACTCTTCAAGGGGAAGTTCGAATTTTTCTTACGAAGAAGCTTGGGGTCAGCCTTGCCTGAAACATGCAACATGAATTATCCCTTGACTTCTTGATACTAGAATGTACTCTGAAATGTTTACTGCATAAGTTGGAGAAGAAATATTTAGATCTTCAAAACAGTAATGAGAATTGCTCTGAAGTCTTGAATTTTCCAGCACTGTACACTGCCCTCACACCTTCCATAGATGTACCTTTTTGGTTTTCTTTTTTTATTTTCTGCTCTTCTCAAGCTTTTGCAGTACCCAACTTGTAGTCTCCATATATATTGCACAGCCTCCGGTACCAAAATGAAAATTCATTGCCATCGAGTCGATTGTAACTCACAGTGATGCTACAGGACAGAGAAGAACTGCCCCTTTGGGTTTCCAAACCTTTAAATCTTTTCAAGGGTGCAGAGTGACTGGTGGGTTCAAACCACTGACCTTACAATTGGCAGCACAATTCATAACTAACTAGCCACCATGGCTCTCATATACAACTGCTCTTGGAAGTCCCTTAATACCTAATTCTTTTTCCAATACTTACCTTTTTTGTCTTATGCTGTAATTTGTAGGTCCAGATTCTTCTCATATTTAAAACTAGGATGATAAATTAATAAATTAGTATAACTTAGTAGCTAAAAATAGAGTGGAACACCCATGTAGGAAACTACAGCTGGTGTGGTCTCCCCTATGCAGTGTTCTGAGTCAGCCCTCCAAATAACGCCAGGAAGAGGCCTAACGACTAAGACACTGAGGATAATTTGTTGCGTTGGGCTGTGTAATAATGTAGACTTCTCCGAAAGAGAATAACAACTACCATTTGAATTCCTAGCTCATTTACAAATGTAAGAAACTCTTTCATTGATTTCAAAGAGTTGGTTGTAGCCCTGTAGTTCCCCTGGGAGTCTTAACTTGTAAATATGCTTTGTTCACAATGAAAAATCTATGTCTTTATGCTGTCATTAATTTTTACTATATTCAGTACATAACCACCCAAGAGAGACATTCCCGTTCAGATAAATTGAGACTGAAAGCTGACTAATCAAATTTCTGGGCATCCTCATTAAAATACCCTCTTAAGTGATAACTTGCTGTGCTAACAGTTGAACTTTTTCTTTGTTAATCCCCAAAATCTGAACTTTGTTCTTCCAGGTCGCTGTGACTCCCTGCACAATGAGAAAGATCTGTACCTACTTCCATCGAAAGTCCCAAGATGACTTCAGTGGTCGCCCTGAACAGTCAGCGTAACTGTAGATTCTAATGTGAGTGTAGATTCTAATGTGAACTAAATGGCTCACTACAGCAAAATGAGAAATATATTAAATACCAGGCGACTGTATACTATAGTCTTTATATAAACTACTCTCTTTTTTATTTTTAGAGAAAATTCTTTGAACTTGGAAATTCTCCTAGTCTGAATCTATTACCATATTATTTAGGCAGCGTCCTTGGGATGAATGCTCTATCCAAATTTCCTAAAGTAAAATTTTATCACTAACATTTTCAATGAATTAGTCATTGTCTTTTTAAATTATTCATCTTCTCTACAATCCCAACTCATGGAGGCAAAAAGACACGTGATTCTTGTCACTGAAGCTTTCTGTGTCAGTGAGAAATGTCTGCCAGCCGCAGCAGTAAACCTGTTGTGTGTTAACCCTCTACCTAAACTCCCTGCTTCTAGTCTGCCTTACCTACCTGTAAGGTTATTTGAAATATATAATCTTTTCACTACGCTTTTGTGATTTGGGTTTTCCTTTTCTGGTATGACGTAAGATGATATTCAGACCAGCCCTTTTGTGCTGGTTCGGTAGAAAGTACAGTCTGTTGAGTCCTCTCTTCAGTTTACAACCAGTGACAGATGCCATCTCCTGGAAGAACTGAGCACAGCGGGAGCTTTGTTCGTCTTCGTTTCACCAAATGGCGGTGGTCTTCACTATTCCTGGGCGAGATGTGGCATCTCCATCTTGTTAGCTAGCAGTTACCAACCCAGCATCCCCTTCTGTTTGGGGAGTTAAGACTTACAGAGGAAGATGTGTATAAAATCAAGTCACACGGTGAAACTGAGCCTCAAAATCAGCTGTCATATTCAGTTCTCAGAGTCTGCCACTTTAAATAAATAAATAAATAGGCTATCAGATTTTAATAAGTTGTGATTTCTTTATTAAAACAAGAAAACTAAATGAAAATCTAAAACCTGAAAAATAACTTGTCTTTCTCAACTTGATGTCTTAGATTGTATATAAAAAAATTTATAATGACCCTGAAACTCCACCCTTCCCCCAAAAAAGAATCACTAAGTTTCCTCTAGTTATTTAATGACAGGAGTAGATAAATTGTTTCTTGATGTGCAAAATATTTTGAAGATCCTTCCCCTTAGCAGTTATGTGTTAAGCACCTTGAAATGAACCATTGTTTACTATTTCTCTCCATTTTAACTTCATAGACGTAAGCTCCCTCTACTTTCTACTTGAAAGGGAGGGGGTCCCTTTCCACCCACGAAACTTGATTTGTTTTATTCATATCCTTGAGAGTTGCACAGACTTTTAGTTCCATTTGTGTCATAATTTTAAAATCTGTTCTAAAAGAACACTCTTTAATTCCTTTGATTATTTGAAGTTATGCTTGTAACGACTGTTAGGTTTCTAGAGTCAGTAATACCTCGGTTCTTGGCTTCGCACGATGAAAGAAGTCACACAGAAGCCCGTTTTGTAATCCACGTGGGTTTTTATGAAGGACGGGACAAGTTTCAGGTTTTTCGGTCTCAAAGAGGTTCACAACTGGGCCAAACAACCACATGGAAAAGAGCACCCACGTATGTGGATCTTAGTGGGGGATCCACAGAGACAGAAGAAGCCCAAGCACCCTAGAGCAGTAGTTGTCACCCTTCCTCATGCCACAACCCTTTCATACAGGTCCTCGTTGTGGTGACCCCCAGTCATAACATTATTTTTGTTGATATTTCATCACTGTAATTTTGCTACTGTTATGAATCATAATGTAAATATCAATAAGCAGGATGTATTAGGTGACCCCTATAAATGAACGGTTCGTGCGACCCGCAGGTAGAGAACCCGCTACCCTAGAGGCTAAGAGCATGTGAGCTAAGGGACTTTGGGCCCCAAGTAGGCCCAGAGCAGGCACATGTGTACCCACACAGGAGAGGGAGACCCTCCCCATCTACCTGCCTCTGACCAGGAGCAGGGTAAGAGAGCATCCCAGAGTGTGCTCCCTGCCCTTATTCTAGCCCACGCCCCACCCTCCACTCCCAGCTCAGGGAAGGCGTGTTGATGGTATTGGTTGACCCCATTGGCTGAATTAGGCTCACCTGGATTCTGTCTTGAGCCTGGGCCTAGTTTGGCCCACACAGGTGTACCTGGCTGGTTGGGGGGGTGGGGGGACTTGAGTACAAGCATGCTCAGTTTGTGGTCTTCATAGATGTCTAATGGTTACTGATTTCTTTCCAACCTCCTCTATGGGGGCCTTTGCAGGCATGGGAGGGGACAACCCTTGTCCCTAAGCTAACTGCCTAGCACGACCAGATCTGCAAAGGACAATTTAGCATAAAATTCTCCCTGGTTTCTATTCCAAGGAAAAAGACTTAAGATTTGCTGTATGTAAAATAAAGCATGCCATAACATTACCTGGGTATTAACTGACTCTGATCCCCTAAGGAGACTTCCAAAAGTTTGTGATTGAAAAAGCCCCATTGCCACCTTCATCCCATTTTTCCACGAACAATACCTGTCAGTGATGCCATTTTTCTTGCTTTGAAAAGCCAGTGGGGGAAATAATTTATAAAGAATAAAGACTAACGTGATGCATTTGGTGCTTGTCTCCCTACAACAGCTACTGGCTGTACAACTGAGGGAAATTGGAGTAAATATGGCTGTCGGGAAACTGCTGCTGGCTGCTGGGTGTAACATGTCCCATAGGTGCCAAAGGTCAAATGTAATGAGAAGATAATTACCCCTACCTGTGTCAGTGTCAGACTTTGAACTGATCCTGAATAATAAAGCAGTTGAACTTATCTGATATCCTTTTCGGAGCTTTTTTACATTAACCCAGAAGTCTACACACAAGATTGATAGTAGTAATCAAGAATCTCTTCCTTGTTCATTGAGGAAATTTTATTTATTCCCAAGAATATAATCAGTTTACACGTAAAGAGTTTTTAATGCATCTTTGCTTAGTCAGACCTCTTTGCTTCAGATGGCTTAGCTTGATGAAAGAGGGTGGGGTGAAGGCCTTCTTTATCGAAACAAGTAATTCCAGCTCCAGCTTTTCCACTGGAATACACTCCAAGTACATTTCTGAGGCCACAGTATTCGGGTTTCCTTTGGGGGTGTTTTAGCACAGGTCCTTTATGTTTGTGAGGGTTGGCTGTACTCCCCTAAAATACCTCTTAATCGGGCTGCACATTTATCTGGTGGTTAATCAAGACCATTGATAACAAGCCATGCTCCCAGCCTTCAGAGCTTTAAAGTGCACTAAGACCTTTGGAACGCCCTGTATAGGAGGGGTTTGTTTTGTTTTTTAATAAATAATTTTACTGGGGACTCTAACAATCCATACATCAATTGTATCAAACACATTTGTACATACATCAATTGTATCAAACACATTTGTACATTTGCCATCATATTTTCAGAATACTTTGGTATCAGCTCCTCTTTTTTCCCTTCCTCCCCCACCCTTGTGAACTGATAAATTATAGATTATTATTTTCATGTCTTACACCATCTGCTGTCTCCCTTCACCCACGTTTCTATTGTTTGTCCCCCGGCGGGGGTGGGGGGCATGTTTATGAGTTTTATTTTTTGTCTTTAATGGCAACAATAGGAATAACTGGTGACAACTAGGTGTGTGTGTGTTGCTTTAAACCCCAGCTTGAAATTAGCCTATGGCCTTGATCTTCCTTGGATCACATAGCAGCTCACCAAATGTCCTGGAGAACCTATCCCACAGTAGATCTACTGCAGTTCTGATTTCCGGATGTCCATTGTCCTTGTCCCAGCAGAGTCTGGAATCCCTTTCGCGCTGCTCGGTAAAGCACAGTGAATCAGATCTATAGCTTGAAAGGGCAACATTTTACCAGGGGGTGGGGGGTAGGGAGCACTTTAGTCGGTGTCCTTACTGCAGTGACTTGCAGGTGGTTTCCACCTCTTTATTCAAAGAGTTGGCAATGATCCCAGCTGCCTCTTTGCCAGTAGATTTCACTGCTTCCCACCCTTCACAGGGGCATCTTTTCTGCCCTAGATTTGTTTGGTTCTTGCCATATCACTAACCAGTTACTCATTAAATTTGGGGGGATTGTGGGAAATCTTTCTACATTGGCTCTTTACATATTGGTTGGAAGTTAGGGGATGGCTGATCCCAACGTTAAGCTGGACTTGAGATGAGTTTAATGTAATGCTTCACTAGATCTGATATCAGAAATGCGATCTCAGCTTGTTAGAAGGGAACCATTTTGTCTAAAGTTGTGGGAGAAACTGTTATTTCTGAACTGTTTGAATGCTGAAAATTTGGGAGTTGTTAAGCAATGATATAAATTCAGCCTTTAAAAAAAGTCACGTGAGCATGTTAGTTTATTCAGATCATTATGCCTACCGTAAGTATGCACAACACAAATAGAGGTATTAATATTGTTAAAAAAATAGGCTTATTCAAACCCAAAAGCTCATCCCTCCATGCTAAGTCAGGAATGAGAATTTCAAGGATGTATAACCAGTTTCTTTGAGTTTTTCAAAGACTTAATATTCTATTTATACTCCATTTCTCTTTCATTTCCTTAACTTGCCACATGTTTTGACATTTTAAATAATTTGTATTCAAGCCATTTTATGGAATATGAATAGCACATTTCAAAATGCCTTTGATTGGAAGGCTCTCAATTCAGGCAATACTTAGTCATCACCTGGGTGCCAAGCCCTGTGTGTGGCACCTGGCCTGCAGAGTTCTTCCCTTTTCTGTTTTCAAAGGAGTCACTTTAATCTATTGGCACTTCCAGAGGCCCAGAGTCAGCATCGGAGTGACACGGGCAGAGACCTGATTTCCAAGTCCTTAGAGTGAAGTTGTTTGTAAGCAGATGTTTTGTCATGAGTGCTGACTAGGGGCAGACTCGGCTCCAGAAACTTACAGTCTAACTGCTGTTTAGACTAAAGCCTGTCCAACATTTCCAAGTAAAATGCCTTCTCACGTGTTTTTAGGATATCCTTAATGATATTATAATATGGTCAATATAATGATTGAAAGCCTGATGTCTAGAGCCTAGCTGCCTGGGTAGGAGTCCAAATCACATGCACTCCCCATTTACATCAGAGTTATTTTGCCCCCTAGTCCATTTCTTCATCCTTAAAAAAAATGGAGTTTGTGTGCAACACATACCGACAAGGCATTGTTCTAACAAGGTAGGGCGCAGGCATTATTACTTTATGTTTGATAAGTGGACATGAGGCTGAAGTAACTTTCCGGGACTCCGAAGGCGCTTCTGTGCTTTCACCTATGCTTCTCAGAGGGAAAGGGGCTAATTTAGAATCATCTAAGATGGTTTTTTGTTTTAACATAAATGCCTTAGGCCTTTGGTTCCAGCACTAGACTTGGAGGAAAGTATCCATTTCCCCCAGGCGTGTGAGATCCATGACTCAGGGAAATTCTGAAGATTGTTTCATATATGCCTTTGGCCACTGTTTAAAGATGCTATCATTTGCAAATCTGTGTCCTGAACTCAAGCAAGCCAATATCTTTGCTTTAAAAAAAAAGCCCCCCCCTCCCATGTCCTGACTACTGCCTCTGCTCAGCTACATTCTTTTAGCTGTTTCTCTTCCTTAGTGAGGAAGCTGCATTTGACTGACCATTATAGCCAAATCTTCACCACGTTTTGTGTTCTGGCCAGCAATAGGCAGATAAAAGATGCAGCTTAGAGCAAGCCATTCAGCTGTATTAGCAGCTCTGACAGTAAAGAAGTTTTATACATTTGGCAAAGGAGAATGGTGTAGATGCTAGAAATTTTCCTTTTTTTGCTCCCAATGAGGTTGTAAAAGGAGCCCTGGTGGTGTGCTGTGGGTTAGGCATCTGTCATAAGGTTAGCAGTTCAAACCCACCAGCAGCTCCTCGGGAGAAAATTGAGGCTGTTTGCTCCTTCAG